GCCACAGGTGTGACAGAAGGCGGACAGGTAGCAGGTAAACTCACCTGCCCGCGGCACACCTGTCCTGTCTCTATTGTTACCTGTCAGGTTCTATTGTTACCTGTATTTTACCGACCCCGGCCCGGCGGCGACAACATTTATTTTTAAAAGCCGGACGCGAATCAGAGACCTTTGTTAAATCCTGCCCCACATAATATCAACAATCGGCGGTTCTTAACAATGCCGAGGACCAAGGTCTACTGTGGCTGGGAGTTTGTCAGCACTAAGGTTGCCTGCTAGTCTTAAAAGTCGCCTGCGACTATGAGAAGTTAAAAAAATAAAAGTTGGCAAAGTTATATTCTACTTGGATGTGATCTGGAGGGAACCAGAGCTAAATTTCAGGCTAGTTCGAACGCAGTGCTGACTTCTGTATTCTGTATCTGTATAGCCGTTTTAGACGTAATAATGGTTTGGGGAGTGGTAGGGAGCAAAATCGTGGAGCGTTCCTGAATGTGTGACAGGGACTTTAAACCGAGTTTTCTGAATGAATGGTGAAAAATCGGACAAGTGAGGAAAGGTTTGATTTTTGCGACAGGAGTCAGCCGACCGGTAAAGGTTTCGTTTGCCCCGCAGGTAAATAACTCGCTCTTATTTTGGTCAATTGCTTTTTAGTCCAGATAGTGTTATCTCTACAGGTGTCAAAGGGCAGGTAAGACGTCGTCAATCAAGGGACAGTCTTAGAGTGACAGATCTAGACAAGGAAGAACAGGAAGAAATCTTAAAGATTTTTCAGACGTCCGGGTAGCATTTTGCGAATCGTAGTGGAACAAGCGAAGAGATTATCATTGTATAACGTATTTTAATAGGACTATGGCAGAAACTATGTTATGTTGAAAGGGCGATACAGAAGACTGCTTGGACCAGTCGAGACCACTTTCCGCCCGAGAAGTCACCAAGGCTCTGTCGGACCCGGAAGACGCTTGCGGCGGCCTACTTAAGCGTACAGGGCCTGTCTTAAGTTTACCTAAGATTATGTAAGGAACAAGAAAGCTGTCACCTTTTAAAGAAGGTTGTTCCAAGTAGTCCTTAGTGACTCCTTCCCTCCGTGGCCTGTCTGTACCTCCCTCAGCACACTGCCGGCTGTGCCTGCCTGCCAGTCCGTGTCCGAATGTCGTCTGCGTTGCTAGGCGACCGGGAAGCCTGGTAAGACCCTCGTCAGCGGCGGGAAACAGACTTTAAACACCCGCCGGAGGCTCTAACCTGCTCACCGGTTAATCTCCAAGCAGATGTTTCGGTGGATACAACTTGTATCAAATTGGCAGGAAAGTATCTTTTTTTTTCGTAGAAAACAGTAATAAATACATATGAAAGGACACAAAGTGACTGCGAACTCAACTTAGGCACAATTTCTATTCTCTAAGCCAGTTTTACAATGAAAAATAAAGTATCAAATTGGCAGATCGTAAAAGTGGGCAAAAAAAATGGCCAAGAGTCAGTCCACGGTAAGGTAACATACGGTGGCCAAACTGCCCTTAAACTAGCCAGTTATTCTCCGGATTCGGCTATACTTCACTGTTTTTGAGCATGCATTTGAGACTACATGTAGGTAACCACCCGGATCCCAGGATAGCGGCTCGTCTTGTTCGGGACACACTTATAATCATGTAAGTGCCGAGGCGGAATATGACAGGTACAGGTAAACTCGGGAATTAGGGAAGGCTTGGTGTTGGAAACCGCGGCCTGTAGCGTGTGTGTGAGGTCCGGTGGTTATTGCCCTCGATTTTGCAACCGAAGGTCCAGAGTTCGAGTCCTGGCGTGTTGTAACTCACCTGGCTGATACACTACTGGAAAGGATAACTATATATATATATATTGACTTTTGTTAAAAACGCACTACAATATACCGTACCTACAGACGCTCAAAAGCTTGTCACTTAAGCCTTTTTACTTTGAAATTTTGCAGACCTATCCACGACGATTGTGCCGTTCGTCAAAGATGAATAGATTTGTGACGGAACGGGGGAAATGGTTTGAAAAATAAACCATGAAACCGCAATGTCATTTTTAAACCAATGGTTTATGGGTGGTAGAATCCAGCAAAAATAGGGGCTTAGTTAGCCGTGGTAAGTGTAACATTTCTGCGTGGGTAGATATATTTATAAGTAACCCTGTAAAATTCTTCTTCCCATATCAAATGTACAAGACGTGCATGCCTACACACACACACACCTACCTGATGTCACACCTGTACAAAGTACTACCTGTCCGTCGGTCTCTGATTGAGGATGTTTTAAGTTTCATGTTGGGACAGGAAGCGTCGGACTTGTTGACCAGAGACAAACACGTCAACTATCGGTAATTACCACATTCCACGTGACATCGGTTCTGTGGGTTTACATACGGACAACATGCCGGGATCTGGGACAGTTTCTTAAGTAGTAACCATGTGTTTACTGTCCGTGTCTGTGTGTAGGTATGTCTGTGTGTATGTGTGTAGGTATGTCTGTGTGTGTGTAGGTATGTCTGTGTGTGTGTGTTGGTATGTCTGTGTGTGTGGTTCTGTGGGTTTACATACGGACAACATGCCGGAATCTGAGGCAGTTTCTTAAGTAGTAACCATGTGTTTACAGTCTGTGTGTGTGTGTAGGTATGTCTGTGTGTGTGTGTAGGTATGTCTGTCTGTGTGTGTGTCTGTGTGTGTAGGTATGTTTGTGTGTGTGTGTGTAGGTATATCTGTGTGTGTGTGTGTGTGGGTATATATGTGTGTGTGTAGGTATGTCTGTGTGTGTGTGTGTAGGTATGTCTGTGTGTGTGTGTGTAGGTATATCTGTGTGTGTGTAGGTATGCCTGTGTGTGTGTAGGTATGTCTGTATGTGTGTAGGTATGTCTGTGTGTAGGTATGTCTGTATGTGTGTGTAGGTATGTCTGTGTGTGTTGGTTATGATGTCTGTGTGTAGGTATGTCTGTGTGTGTGTGTGTATGTCTGTGTGTAGGTATGTCCGTGTCTGTCTGTGTGTGTAGGTATGTCTGTGTGTGTGTCTGTGTGTAGGTATAGTTCAAGAAATCTTTCCTTGCGAGGAAAATGGTTTTCTTGCCACAAGAAGAGTTATATAATAGTTCAAGAAATCTTTTCTTGTGTACAGAATGTTTTTTTTTTGCTTCAAGAATAGTTAGCTCTTAGTTCAAGAAATCTCTTCTTGTGGGCAGAATGGTTTTCTTGCTACAAGAACAGTTAGCTCTTAGTTCAAGAAATCTTTTCTTGTGGGGAGAATATTTTTCTTGCTACAAGAAGAGTTAGATCTTAGTTCAAGAAATCTTTTCTTGTGTACAGAATGGTTTTCTAGAAAACTTAGAAATTCTTTCTGCAAGAATAATATTCTAAGGATATTTAGTTCAAGATACATAAGAAAAGAAATCTTACCACAAGAAAAATATGCTAAAATGCAGGTTCTTGAAATTCTTGTCTCATGGACAAGTATTTTTTCTTGGGTGAAGAATAATTTTCTCAGCGGAAGAAAATTTTTCTTCTCTGAAGAAAAACAAGATTGGCATTTTTGGTAGTGTATGTATGTGTGTGTGTGTGTGTGTGTGTGTATGTGTGTCTGTGTGTCTGTGTGTAGGTATGCCTGTGTGTGTGTCGGTGTGTGTAGGTATGTCTGTGTGTGTGTAGGTCTGTCTGTGTGTGTGTGTATGTGTCACATACACACAGAACATGAAAAAAAAGCCACAACTGTACAAACTTACCCCCACAACACCAGGTGTACAATGATGAGATGACTTTATTCCTGTTCTATGAACTTCGTGAAATACAGGAACTGAATAATTTTCTCATTTACACAAACATTACAAAAAGAATCCATATTATATATACAAACACAGCAAAGATTACAAAGTCATAACCTTGACACAAATACATATAACAGTGTATATATATTATCATATAAATATACAGCATTATTTAGGTAGGTAAATCTATGGATCTGTGGGTTCTTTGGTTTTGTTACATTTTGGTACAAAGAAACAAAATCCACACAGTGACTGATACAGCTAAGATTACAATATTTGTACCTTATTCACATTGGATACTTAAGCTTAATCTGGAATGGTCAAAGGTCTTCACAAAAATTGTCCCCACAAACTATTTTATTACTAACATTTCATAGATCATCACAATGCCCTCAGGCCTCAACCTGAGAGAATTTGACACTACAACTGGTTTGTTTGATTCTGGTCCCTCTGATCATGAGCTGGTGTTGCCTGAAACAATATAATGTACAATATACTTTATAAATATGCTGTTCCAGAAATATTCGATCATACAGTAATACAACAAAAGTTTTACGTTGTAAATTTTTGGCAGGTCTTACCATCCTGAATAGAAACAAAATTAGCTCTATTCCATCAATGTCCCCAGACTCCCCAACATGTTGTAATGAGTAGATAATTATAACTAAATAATTTTTACAGTTCTATATTAATATCCCCAACATGTTGACATTGTTATAACCTAACAAATACAGTATACTGACCTAAGCTGAGGATATGTACAGAACAGGTCGCCATGTTGGGAACTCAGCACAGCTTTAGGCAGCTGGCTGTGGTGTCCGCTCCCTCAGGAACTAGCTTCCTAAAGTACCTGTATATGGAAAATGGAAAACAGAGTTGCTGCGTTACAATAATTAACATCATATTGTCATTATAATTTGAATAACAGAAAATGGGAGTAAATCTACTAATAAAAATAAGAGATTCACAAACCATTTGGTGCCATATTGGTTATTGCACACTTACATGTATAATTGGTACATACCTTATAGAAGTACATGTATGTGTACCAGAACAGGAGTGTATCTATTAGGTGCATTTATTACAATTTGATTGTGCAAATACATCTAGTGCAGTCTTGAATGTACAGAAAAAGACAAATCCTCATCACTCAGATTTCTAACACCTGTTAATCTCATTAGAGTCCCTTTAAGACACGCTGGAGTAGAGCATGTCTATAGGATAACCAATATAACTCACATCAGCCTCTCCAGTGTTGGGTGTTCCTCAGCAGCCTGCACCACAGCCTGGAACCCTGCAGGCTCCATGGAGATGTGCCACAGGTCCAGCTGCTCCAGGGCAGGGAGTCTGGGTAGAGCCTCGGCCAGATCCATGGCAGCGGTGTCAGACAGGTGTGCAGGTGTGAACCAGCTGTAACCAGACATGTCCAGTCTGGTCAGTGCTGGCAGTGTGCTGATGAGCTGTGCGACCCTCCCCAGTCCGGCTCCTGTTATTCCCCTATTCCACCCGATGTGCAGCTCCTGTAGTGTGGTGTTATAGTGAGGGGCTGTGGTCAGACTCTTGTCACCAGGTGGGTTTTGTTCCATGTCCAAACTGCTGGGCTGGCAGAGTGTTTGCACCAGTGAGACAATCCCTGAGTCTCCTATGTTATTGAAGCTCACATTCAACACCTGTAATTGCACCAGGTGAGGCAGAGCTTTGATCAGGGATGATATTCCCCTGTCACTGATACCTGTGTGATGGAGAACCAACACTTTCATGGCTGTGAGGTGGTGGAGGATAGCAGCCAGGCATTCCAGCCCGGGGTCTCCTATGGCATTATAACTAATGTCCAGTTTGATCAGTCTGGTTAACTTACACAGTGCAGGCACCAGTGTGCTCATGCGTGTGGGGATGATACCGGTGCTACTCAGGACCAACACCTGCATGGCAGTGAAGGTGTGGAGGACGGTGGTGAGAGATTCCAGCCCAGTGTCACCAATCTCATTACCACTTATATCCAGTTCTCTCAGTCCCACTAGGTGGCGCATGTAGGGAGCCAGGGATGACATGCCCACAGCTGTCGTGCTGACATACTGAAGACAGAGCACAGCCAGGTGTGGAACACTGGACAGCCCAACCTGTAGGACTTCCATCCCAGCATCACCAAGGGCACGGTTCCCAGTAAGATCCAGCTCCTCTAACAGAGACATGTGTCTGAACCCCTGCACAAGTGGCTGGAGTGATGATGGTGTTAGGTCTGTGTCTGTTAGACCCAGCGCCCTCAGACAAGGAACATTCTTCAGAACTGAAACCAGCCTGGCTGTCAGATCAGGTGAGTCAAATGTTACATAGTTCAGTCTTAGGTCTAACTTCAGGCCGGGAACACGTGAGGTGAAAATCTGTTCCAGGCCCTGAAGAGCATCTGATGCATCAATAAAATATGATCCTAGTATCATTCTATGTCGAGTGACAACATGACACAATTTTACATTTATATATATATCTTATGGCTCAATTTACATTAATATACAACATATTCACAGCGTCTTTTTATATATTTTTTACATCGATGTCTCCCATATCACCAGCAATATGGAAACTCTTTGTACGTTTGGCTCACAGAGGTCTATAAAGCACATGCGCATTCGGCTTTTAGTGTATACTTCCCGGGCTGCTATTGGATAAAGATGACGTCATGTCTTGAGGTCCATTTAACATAGACTGTAGTAGAGCGGATTTGTCAAGGTTTACTTTGGATGTTTGGTCAACATTACGTTAGAATTTTGCTCTTTGCAGACGATATTTTTTTTTCTGACACAACATGAAAAAGTGTAGACAACATGCCATCCTTGAATACAAAAATACGACCTTGAGCAATCTTATGCCCAAGTGCAATTCATAGTGTAATGTAATACACGCTTTATGCAGGCG